CCACTATCTCTGATTCAATATTGAGTTCAACAGTTTTAGGGTTTGAGGCATCTTCGCCCAAGTCCTTACCCCAACCTCTGGATACCAGGCCTTGTTTTCACAAGATCTATTATTACACACAACCCATGTTAGCATAATATTCCCCATTAGTAGCTATTCATTCTCCTAGGCTAATTGTTATCCACTCCCTCGTCTGTCCAATTATTCTTCTCTCTCTTTCGGCTCTATCTCCACCTATCATTTTCTCTTTACCCTCTCCCCAGCCCAATGTTCTGCATAAAAACCAACTCTTTCCTACCTACCATCAGTTCCGAGGAAGGATCACTGGACCCGAAACACTAACACTGATTTCTCTCCACAGATGCTGCCAGACTTGCTGAGCTTTGCCAGCAATTTCTGTTTTTGTCTGTGATACAAGCAGATGCTGCTAACATTAATATTAATTAATATTGCCCCAGTTTGACTACAAGGTGAGCACAAGTGAGATGGGTGACAAGGATTTTCATCTCCAGCTTCTGGAAGCCAATACTGAATTCTCTTAGCCAAAATGCCAATTTTTGAAAATTCACATTAAATTTGCATATCTTCTCCTTTAGATAAGCGAAAATAATCAGTGCTTCAGCAGCCATTTAAAGATAGAATACAGTATTTAATATTTCATTTAACTGTCCTCAGTTTAGAATAGTTCATGATCCTCTTGTAACATTCATGTCAGTACTGTTTTCTTTGCCACATTAAGTCTTACAATGCAATTTATCTTTTAAGTAATTTCTTGCCTTTGCTTCAATAATATTTTGATTGGTTTCACACCCTCAAGAAATGAAATAGATACCTTACTTTTCTGAGGATGCTTCTTGGGGGCAGTTGACTCAAAACTCATGCTAAATAGACAATGTACTGATTGCTCCTTAAAATGTGGTTGAATATGTTCTGGATCAAACTTCAAGACTGACCTCTTCCAAGAAATGATTTTGTTATCAAATCACCAACAACTTGGATATCAGCTTTCTTTAGGATTGGGTGCTTATACACTGAAAAAGAAAATAAAAATAAAACATTTACAATTTACAATGTCATGTTTCTCTATTAATAACATGATTTAAATTGTTAGCCTTCAACTGATTACATTCCATTCACATTATGGCAATGGGAAATTTATTCAGTTGGTACAACCAATGAAGCAACTTTTCACCTTTAAGATTCCCCAAGACTTTATGTCCATTAATTTAAATCAATAGAAACTTGTATTATAGGAGTGCCCTTCTAGGCTCCACAGGAAAATTTCAGACACCCTATGTACCTCCAGTAATGAGGCTTTCTGTAACCTCTTCTCTGGCACTTATCTAAGTTTTCTGTCTGGCAGCAGCCTCCTGTCACCAGATGTTTGTCTCTATCCCTCAAATCTAACCATTCCTACTGGTTTCAGTAGGAGATTAAGCCTATACAGAGTTTAAAATTTCTCAGGCCTAGAGATGCCAACGTCATGAGGTTGCTGCGTACTTTGAAATATTGAGACAGTGATAGATGGGGGAATTGTTGCAGAGAGAGAGAGAGAGAAAGAGATACAGATATAGGAGGAACCACAGAGATGTTCAAGACTTATAAAGTGGGAACATTGAGGGACCTTTTCCAGATTAATGTTTGAGGAATTACGTTGGAAAGTGCACAAAGAGGAATAGGAAATTCTGAAGTGTGTTCAGCAGAACTTCTGTGACCATTATGTTCTCAACTGAATTAGGAAGCAACATTGATAGAGGTGGTGCAAAACATTGCTGGAAACTAAATTGTCAGAGCTAAAACATAGGATGAAAGCTGATAGGCAGCATGTAAGCTGGGTATGGATAACTCAACTGATCAAGGTGACTTTCATCCCAGTTTATTAAAGGAAGTGCAGTGGAGATAGCAGAAGATCTTTCCATAACTTACAATTTCCCTAAATATGAAGTGCCAGTAGTTTGGAGAGGGACAAATGTCACACATTTATCCAGGAAGGGACGTAACTACAGGTTGCTTAATTTAGCATCAGGATGGGTAAGGTTTTGGAAACAATAAAGCACAACGCGCTATTAAAAAATGACTCGTTCACAAAATTGAGGCTCCTAGAATAGGAGGGTCAGTGTCAACTTGGACTTTTTAAAAAAATGCTTAAGGACAGAAACCACAAATTGTTGCAAATGATTGTCTCTCAGAATGGAGAATAACAGACAGTATACCACTTCTCTCATGTCATTCCCTCCCTCCCATCCATACCTGTTAAAGGCCATTTTGTCTTTCCCATAAGTATGGTGACCAATACTGTACACAATACTCCAGATGTGGTCTCACAAATGCCAATAATCTCCCTACAGTTGCATTCAATTCCTCTCACAAAAAAGCATGACATTCTGATGGCTTTCCTGATTACTTGCTGTACCTGCATATAAACTTTCTATGATTCATGCACTAGGACACCTGGATCTCTCTGCATCTTAGACCTCTGCAACATTTCACCATATAGGTCATACGTTCCTTTTTTATTCTTTCTGCCAAAATTGACAATTTTACACTTTCTCACATTGTACTCCATTTGCCTGATCTTTGCCCAGTCACTTAACCTATCTATATCACTTTGTAGGCTCCATATATCCTCTTCACAACTCACTTTCCTACTTATCTTTGTGTCATCAGCAAATTTAGCTACCATACCTTAGATCCCTTCAACCAGATGATTTTTATAAATTATGAAAGATTTGAGGCTCCAGCATGAACCATTCGTGACATTCTGCTAGCCTGAAAAAACACTCACTTATTCCTACTGTCTGCTTCCTGTTAGCCAGCAATCTTCTATCCATGTCAAAATGTCACTCTCAATACCATGAGCTTTTGTTTTCCACAATAACCTTTGATGTGGCACCTTATGAATTGCCTTCTAGAAATCTAAATATAATACATCCACTGGTTTCATTTTATCCACAAGTTACTTCTTCAAAGAATTCCAATAACTTGGTTAAGCATTATATACCTTTGACAAAGCCATTTAGCTCTGCCCGATTATCTTGAGCTTGCACAAATGCCTTTAATTGTAGTTTCTAACATTTTCCCTGTGGCAGATATGAAGCTAACTGGTTTGTAGTCACCTATTTAGGAAAACCTTTCAACTTTTGTATTCTATGTTTCTATTTATAAAGGCAATTCAGTAGTTCAGTTTCATTATGACAGGCTTTACAACCACTGCTTTGACAAACAATTATGTACAACTTGGTCATTCATGTTATGCAATCAGCTCCACTTCTTTGAACCTGGCCCTACACAATACGTAGACAGCAATATCTAAAGACGCTGGACATTGGACTTCTATAATGAGTGGTTGTTATTTTCTCATTTAGCCCTGACTATTGCATACTGCTTCTGCTGTCTGGTATGCAGGCAGCTTACAACGACTATGTGGTAGTCATTCTTACTGATACATCATGAACAGATGTTCCTGTCTGCAACCTGACCCTCAACAATTCTGACCACAGTCTGCCAACAGTGATGTCATTGTTGAGAAATACAAATAAAATCCAAGAGTGAAAACTTCCCTGGCCTTAGGGAGCCATATGGTTGACCACCACCTTTTCCAACTGCATCAAATCCTGCCCCAGCATCTGCCAAGTTAATAAAAAGCAATCATTATAATTTGATAACTTGCATGATAAAGATGTAAAATACTGACAGCAAGGAAAGAAAGCAACATCAAATAAAAATCAAAACCAGATGCCGTGCATGTATTTTTAAAAAAAGTTAAAAATGCAGGTAAATGGGAAAAGTGCAAGGGAATGGAAATAATAGGAAAGCTCTTTCAGAGCCAGCACATACATGAAGGACCTAGTGGATTTTTCTCTGTGATTTGTGATTAAATGAGAAATAAAGATCCCATTCTCCACTGAGTACAGATAAAATGCAAGTTGCAGTTTATCACACAGCTATAGTCAAGTATCTATATGCTATCATGTACTCCAGAGTACTTTAGCTTCTTCATATCTAAATTGCAATTTTAGTACATTGTTGTACCCTGAACAAAATTACAATTAAAAGTGTAAAGTTGACAGGAAGTTAATGGGTTTCTTCTGATGGAGGCTGCTGCTGTGGTAGGGTTAGGGAACATTTGAAAAAACATCACTCACAATCTTATGCTAATCTACTGTGGAAAAATCTGAGATCAAAAGCAATTAAAGGGGAAAACAGCTCTTCAGGAAACAATCTACAGCACATACCGAACAGTGATCACAATCAATTGGTAATTCCTTATTGAATAAACAGTACATCAAATAATTATTTAAAACAGAGGATTTAACTTGATGCTTAATTTACACTGTGAGCAATCATGTACATGTCAATTGATTTTATGATGTGGGCCTTGCTGACACAGCCAGCATTTGTGGCCATCCATAAATAGTCTTGAACTGAATGGTTCGTTAGGCCTTTTTCAAGGCCCGTTCTGAGAAAAGGTCACCAGACCTGAAACATTAACTCTGATTTCTCTTCACAGTTGCTGCCAGACCGGCTGAGCTTTTCCAGCAATATCTGTTTTTACTCTTTTTAGAAGGCAGTTCAGCGTCAACTGTATTGCTGTTAGTCTGAAGTTACAGATAGGCCAGACCAGATAAGGATGGCAGATTTCTTCCTACAAAGGGTATTGGTTTAGGGATTATTTTTAAATAGTTATCAATGATAGTTGACATGGTCATCAGCCAAGGCACCAGCTTTACATTCTATGTTTATCAACTCAATTTAAGTTCCAGCAGCTACCATAGTAGGATTTGAACCTGTGAGCATTAGCTTGCATGTCTGAATTATTCGTCCACTGACATTATACTCAGCGATACATCCTTTTGATACTTCATACTTGATATAGTTTACATCAATTTGTTGATTCTTGTTTTAGAGTGTTAAATTTAATTGGAGGGTATTTTGCTAGATAATTTTGAAGATCAATACGCATATTTACAATAACATTAAATTAATGTTGCTAAGAGGTTTAGGGCTTTTATAACAAGCTCACCATTTTGAAATTATTTGAACATCACAAATTTTCTTTATAGATTAGACTTTCGGGTTTGTGTAAGAAACTTGGTAACATGCATTCTTATATCTTTTACCACTTTTAGGGGTCAGTTTTCTAAATGAGCTTCGTTGATTAGGGTGGATACCAGGCTCCATTAGCAGCAAGTATTCAGAAAATCAAAAGTACCACAAATGTTCTGTACTGTATTTCAAATTGAGATTAGGTTTTCAAGATGAAAAATGTCTTGCAGTTTACATGTTGATTCCTGTGGGAACATCTAGTTAAGCTGAGTTTAAATCACACAACAGGAATTTAAGTGAAAAGTTACTACATTGTATCACACTCCTGACTTGCACCTTATAAACAGTAGAATTTGAAGATTCAGGAAGCGAGTCACTTGCCATAGAATGCCAAGAATCTGCCTTGCTGTCATGCTGGTCCAATTAAATTTGTGGTCAATAGTAACCCCAAAATGTTGATAATGGGGGATTCAGTGATAGTAATGCTGCCGAATGTCACAGGGAAATGGCTTGATTCTCTCTTGTTGGAGATGGCCATTGCCTGGCAGTTGTGTGGCATTAAATTTATTGGCCACATCTGAATATTGTCAAGGATTGCTAGAAATGGATTGTTTCACTTTTCCTGCATATCCTTTGATCCCTTTAGCCCCAAATGCTATATCTAACTCCTTCTTGAAAATATACAATGTTTTGGCCCTGACTGCTTTCTGTAGTAATGCATTCCACAGGCTCACCACTGGGTGAAGAGCTTTCTCCTCACCTCAGTACTAAATGATTTACCCCATTTCCTTAGACTACGATCCCTGATTCTGGATGCCAACATCATCAGGACCATCCTTCCTGCATCTACCCTGTCCAGCCCTGTTAGAATTTTTAGGTTTCTACGTGAACCCCCTCTCATTCTTCTGGAACCCAGAAAATATAATCCTAGCCAATTCAACCACTCCTCATACGTCAGTCCTGCTTTCCCAGGAATCAGCCTGCTAAAACTTTGCTGCATTCCCACTATAACAAGGATGCCCTTCATCAGATAAGGAGACCAAAGTTGCACACAATATTTCAGGTGTGGTTTCATCAAGGCACTGTACTATTACAGCAAGACATCCCTGCTCCTGTCCTCAAATCCTCTTGCTATGAATGCACCTGCATGCTTACCTTCAGAGACTGGTATACAAGGACAACAAGGTTTTGTTGCACATTCCTCATCTCAATATATAATTGTTCAGTTAACAATCTGCCTTCCTGTTTTTGCTCCCGAAGTGGATAACCTCACATTTATCCATATTTTACTGCATCTACCATGCATTTGCCCACTCAATGAACTTGTCCAAATTATACTGCAACATCGCTGCATCTTTCTCACAGCTCACACTCCCACCCAGCTTTGTGCCATCTGCAGATTTGGAGATATTATATTTAGTTCCCTCACATAAATCACTAATACACATTGTGAACATCTGGGGTCTTAGCACTGATCTCTGCTGTACTCCGCTAGTCACTGCCTGTCATTTGGAAAAAGTAAGCCTATTTATTCCTACTCTGTTTCCTATTTCCCAATCAATTTTCTATACACTTTAATACACTACCCCCAATTCCATGTGCTTTAATTTTATACTCTAATCTGTTGTGTGGGACTTGCTTTCTGAAAGTCCAAATAAACCAAATCGACTGGTTTTCCGCCATAAACTCCAAATTCCAATTGATTTGTCAAACATGATTTTCCTTTTTAAAACCATGCTGACTCTGTCCAATCTTGCCACAGTCTTCCAAGTGCTCAGCTATTAAATCTCTAATTTTCCCCACTATTGACATCAGGCTGACTGGTCTATAACTCCCCATTTTCTCTCTTGCCTCCATTTTTAAATAGAGGTGTTACATTAGCTACTCTCCAATCAGAGTCTATAGAATCTTGAAAGATGACTATCAATGCATACACTATTTCTAGGATCACTTTCTTAAGTACTCTGGGATGTACATTATCAGGCCCTGGGATTTATCAGACTTCAAACCCATCAATTTTCCCAACGCTATTTCCCTACTAATACTGATTTCCTTCAGTTCCTCCTTTTCACTAAATCTTGTGTTCCCCAACATTTCTGGTATACTATTTCTGTCTTCCTTTGTAAAAACAGAACCAACATATATATTAGTTGGTCATCCATTTCTTTCTTCTCCACTAATAAATTCCCTTGCTTCTGACTAAAAGGGACCTACAATTGTCTTCACCAATCTTTTTCTCTCCACATACCTATAAAAACTGTTACAGTCAGTTTTAATGTTGCCCATAAGCTTATTCTAGTACTCTATGTTTCCTTTCTTAATGAATCCCTTTGTCCACCTTTCATGAAATCTAAACAGTTCCCACTCCTCAGGTCTGTTTTTTCCTCTGGCCAAGTTGTATGGCTCTGCCTTGGATTTAACACTATATCTAATTTCCCATTTAAACTATGGTTTGACCACCAACTTTACTTCTGTGTCAGACAGGAATGAATAGGTTTTGCAATTCACCCATGTGCTCTTGCCATTGCTTTTCCACCATCATCTCTTTAAGTAATGTCCCCCAGTCTATCATAACCAATTTGTGCCACATGCCATCATAATTTCCTCTATTAGATTCAGACCCTTGTGTCAGAATCAACTACGTCTCTCTCCATCTCGATGAGGAATTCTATTTCTATGATGGTCACTGAACCCCAAGAGTCTTGTTCAGTTAGCCAGCTATTCCTTTCTTATTCCACAATACCCAGTCTACGTTGGCCTGTTCTGTAGTTGGTCACTCAATGTATTTACCCAGAAAACAATTCCACATTCATGTTTGGACCAAGGCTGTAATGAGATCAAGCCACTTCTTGATATCATGTGGAGTGGCATCGATTGGCTGAAGACTGGCATCTGTGATGCTGGGATCATGCTGGACGAGACTTGATGACTCATTCACTCGGCACATTTAGCTAAAGATGGTTTCAAATGCTTCCCTTGCTTGCATTGATACGATTAGCTCCCATATGATTGAGGAGGTGGATGTTCGAAGAGTCTGTTCTTTCAGTTAGTTATTTAATTGTCCACTACTATTCATTGCTGGTTCTGATAGAACGATGGAGTTCTAATATTTTTAGTTGGTTATTGCGCTGCTACATGCTGCAGTTGCTGTTTAACATGCATTGATTAATGTGTTGATTCACAGATTGGCATCTTATTTTAGGTATGCCTGAAGCTATTCCCTGGAGAGTCAACAGCATGGAGGAATTTGAAAATAAGAATGGGAATTTTAAAATCAAAGTACTTCCTAACCAGCATTGTAGGTCAATGTCTCCAGTGGTGCTGGACAAATGGGACTTGGTGTGAGCGAGTACACATTTGATTTATGGTGGGTAGAATGTGGAAGGCTGGTCAGTGGTGCTAGTCAGAAACAGTCAAGTCTGGAAAAACCAGTGTCATAGATAAGGATTTGTACAGAAGAAGCGCTGAAGCAATGGTAGGACAGGCAATGCTAGAGAAATGAAAATGGGCAGTTTTAGCAACATTGTGGCTATGTAGTTGGAAGTTCATCTCACGGTGAAATATGACAACAAAATTGAAAAAGGTTCAGTTCAGCCCCAGACACTTGCCAGAATGAATTATAGAATAAGTGGCAGGGTTGATTCTGGAAACCAAGGTAATGGGCAGGGATGAGGTCTTAGGTTCTAGGTTGCCAGGGTGGAGCAAGAGAAGAGTTCTGATCATGGATGATTGCTGAGGTCTAGGTTCTACAGAAGAGTCCAGATTGAGAAGGTGGGTGAATTTGCATGGCATTTTCAGAGTTCCCAATCATGGTTAGTCAATAGTGGTTATAGGCCTGAAATTGGTCAGTCGGATGGTGAAGGCGATGTGGTTGGGTGTCTGCTACTAATTTAGTAGGAGTATGGTGCGGGGAGGAGGCAGGTTGGTTAAGTAGGGAGATACAATTGTGGGATTTGGTTTTACTAGCTGGCTTCTTGGGCCTAGTGGAAACATTCCAGTTCCCCCTCATCCATAAGCACTTACCTCATAATTTGGCCCCACTTGCCTCTTCTAAACTGCCAATTTCCCTGGGGCCTCAGAAATCCAGTCATCAGAAATCCAGTGAAAAATAAAATGGTTGTCAAAATGAAGGCAGGCAACCTCATGATAGAATTTAAATGAATGACTCCTTTCATGTGAACAAACTGATTTTACTAATGAGAATAAACCTAAACCTGATTGTAGTCACTTGCCATACCTTCACTAATTCTGGAAATAGTCATGTTCTAGGTCATTGGGATTCCAGTTTCAGATTTCTCACACTTTAACGTCTGACATGATCCCAAAACAGCTGTACTTGGGAGCTGAATTTCAGCCCTTTGCTGGAGAGAGTCCAGATATTTTGTCTTTCTATCAAGAGAGACACTAGATGATACATAGGTCATTCAGTCACTTGAGACTATTCTACCATTTGATTTAGATGAATTCTTCCAGGAATACTAACTCTGCCATTTTGCGTCTACACCTAGGCTACTAGCATAGGACAACCTAATGAAGCTTCCCCTATCGTGTATCTCTCCCTTAAGAAAATGATTTCTTTTCACCCAGAACAGAGAAACTAAATTATGGCTCCTCCTATTTGTGTGCTGTTCCAAAAATCAGGTTGAAAACTTTTGTTTTTTGTCTTGTGTAAATTCTCCCTCGGAATTTGGAAGATTTATGCATTATCAACCCAACTCCACAGTGCCACCTCTTTCTGTAGTGACACTGCAAATGTGAATTCGATGCCATCACCTTTGAACTAGATATTCGGTTCACTCAAAGTTGGTTATGGTGTAGCTTTGGTTAGTATGATTGGAGGGTTTTTTTTTAAACTTACATATGTATTTCTGTCCCTCTTCTCCCTCTACTATTGGCTTAATCCATGTTGACAAGCGAGTGGACCTATTACCCAGTCTGGCTCCAAGAGGTGGATACATTGTAAATGCCATTTCTAATACTTGCTGCTTTTTCAATTTTTCAGGCAGCTTGATAGAGGAGTCTGATAAAAGGAAAATAGAACATAAAATTAAACTTTTAAACTTTACCTAATTAAAATAAGGGCCAAATGCCATTACACTGATATGGAGATTTATGTAAGCCACTTTATTTTCATTACATGCTAGTTTTCTATTTCTGTTTCAGCCAATCCAGTTTCCCTTCTTCTGCTTTAAAGGATCAGTGTGGAGAGCTAATGTATGACTGTAATTCCTTGTATAGTCTACTGAATAAAAAGGGAAAGGATCAAGAATCACAAATCTCCCTCCTCCCCTAAAAAACAAGCAACACAAAAACAAAATTATTCCACCAGAAGACCAGGTTTGGCAAATGATGAAATATCAACTGGTATTCATTGCCTTTGGAACTTGTACCCTCCATGCCAACTTAGCTACTTCTCACCATGCACAGATCTCAGGAGTCTTGACATAAAATAAAATTAAGTTCCAAAAGTATATTTTAGCCTACACTGAAAAATACCCATTAAACTTCAGGTGGTTAATCATTTATAAAAACAAACTTCTTTTGAAAGATCACGTCAAAGCCAACTAATTATTTAATATTCTCTTTAAGCTGATAATCAGTAAACTTAGAACTCACTGCTGAAAAACAAGATAGCTTTTGGAAATCAGCCAAGCATTCATAATGAGAATTTAAGAAAATCTAAAAACAAAAGCTATCATAATTGTTAGAACAGCCTTTTTCAACCTTGCATTTATACTGGTAGAGTGTTTTGTTTCAATTCTGAAAATGATATATTTGAAATCTTCATATCATTACAGTTCTATGGACATTATGCAGATTTTAACAGCCTACGTATCAAATCTATAAATTTATGGATTCTCATAGTGAGGGTTAAGGCTCTTGAAACAGTCAAAATGGGTCACCACTGAATTCTGGAGTTGGGCCCGTAACCCCCAGATGCAGATCAGAGGCAGTCAAGTGCCTGGCTAAAAGGTCCATCTCCATTCTTCAGAAATGTCTTAACTGTGTTGTGGAATTTTTACTCTCTAGTCCCCATGCAACTCATGACTTGATGAGTTTGTACATCAGAAACTTGCTGAAATGGTTACTAATTTAAGATTTATGAACCAAAGACACATAGATGGAGTTGGTCCAGAAACAGGTTTAGTTCAGAGCAAAAAAAATTACTCAAACTCTTTCCATCATCTCAAAAGATAGCCCCACCATTACATTTTGATTAAATTTCCTTGCAGGAACAGAAGAGCTGTACTGTTTTTGGAGGATGACAAGAGGCCACGCTGAGTGACCACGGTTACACGGAGTGAGGTAGCATCAAAAGTAAGTGCTCACAGTAGCATCAAGATAGACTGGATTCAGTGCTGCAAGAGGATGAATGATCTGCTGTGCTTTGGATGGTATGTACTGCTGTCTACTCAATGCTTTAGGTCCTATAAGTAAAAGTGTCTACAACACTAACTTGGTCACACAGTACCAGCTCAATGACATTTCATCACCACTCAGAAGACCTACACGCCTGGTAATTTTCTGGAAAAGGCTTACATGGGCAACAACAAAAGGTATCTTTGGGTTGAACACCTCACAAGAATATCAGGCATTCCATCATATCAAGGTTTATCGATTTCCATGAACTCTGCAGTCTCCAGATCAATTGTAATTCCATCACATGCCATAACAAAGTATCTCAACATTTAAGATTAAAAATACAGGAGTTCCCTTGAAGGCAGGAATGCATCTGCGTCATAATTAGTTAACTCTTCCACGCATGTACAAGTGTTCATATAAAATCATTCAACCTCAAATCTATTTGGTATTAAATTTTTGTGCCTGTCTGCCTCATCTCACTATTGCCCTGGCTTCCACAATATCTTCATCAACAGTGTTGACTTCTTCAGTAACACCGTGAGACTCCACTTCCTTATCTGCAGAGACATCTCCCCTTGGTGGCTGGTCTAACTCCCCCTCTACTAAGTTCTCACTCTGTCATTGAACCAGATTGCACAGGATGCAGGAAACAATGAGCAAACAAACTATTCTGAAGACCAAATTTGGCTAGTGCTGGTGTGCTCCTCTTGAGCTGTCCAGGCAACAAAGACACATATTCAAAAAAATTGACTATATGTTCAATAATGGCCTCAAATGCATGGGAAGTACTGAAGCATTGTTTTGCAATAGGCCAAGTGTCTTTCACTTGGGTCATTGGCCATTCTTTCTGGTGCACTCCTTCACTCATGTTCCAGCCATGGAGATGATGCAAGGTGGGGAAAAAACATTCTCAAAACCTGGGAGTTGTGCAGAATGTAAGCATTGTGATAGTTTCCTGGATAGAGGGTGGGCAACTTCAGGTTTTGGAGTCTGTGTCACAAACAAGCTGAACGTTGAGGAAGTGAAATCACTTCCTGTTCTTGAACATGACTGGATGATGCCATGGAGCTCTGAGTGCTACATGTATGTAGCTGACGGCCTTTTGTACCTGAAGGAATCCAGCGATGGCCGCAGATTCCATGGTTCGAACACCTTGGCTCTCTGCATTGACGTTAATCTGGACAAATTGTACTGCTTTCCTGGAAATGACACTGATAAATTCTCAAACGTATTTGTGAATTGCCATTTGGGAGATGCCATACTTGTTCCCCACTAATGTTTGAAAGTAGCCACGGCCAGAAATTTTGATACAGCTGTAATCTTCAGCACCACGAGCATTACACTTCCTCCTAAGCTGACTGACCGATTTTAAAATAAGTGACAAAATTCCCCAAATTACCTGATTTACAGACCTGGGTTGATTGAAAGCATGGATCAGGTTTCTGTACTTAAGAAGACTCAAGCTACAAATAAAGTTATAAACCATCAGCTTATAACAATACAACTTTTAAAAATCTAGTCGCCATAGACAGACACACACAACAGTTCAGTGGTTCTTATTCATGGGTTGCTGAGACAATCCTTATGGTTCTTATGCTGATCAGAATGTTGTTTTACAATTGTCTTTCTTTGAATGCTTCCACTGGTTTTCAAGAGACACACAGTGGCTGGTTGACTGATAAAATGTCTCTAACTTATCAGTTAAAAGTTACAGCTTACAACAACGCTGAAGGAAAGATGAACTGGATTTTGACGAAAGAGAACAGAGCTCCTGTTCTGGTAGAGATCAAACCACTTCTCTTTCTCTATCTTTTTCCCAGCCCCAAACTGTTCAATTACCTAAGAAACATTGTGGGCCGAAGGGCTGTACTGTGCTGTCCTGTTCTATGTTCGATGTAACCAATCACACAGTTGTTGGCAGGCAAATGGCTTTTGTCATTGATATCTTGTCACTAATCCATGGACCAATCAACTTGTCTGCAAATACTTCAATTACTGCTTGATTCAAACAGCATTTTACATGATACTTGCCATAAGTGTGAGGTTACTTGCTTTACAAAACATGCATAAATCCTTTAAATATTTCAGCATACAATTTTAAAAAGCATAAAAACAAAAAAGACATGGTCCTTACACGAGAGAAAAACATAAATAATGGCCGAGTAATTCTTCTCTGAACTCACAAATAGTATTTTGCAGGATTTGCTTTGATTCCCTCAGTAAAGTGTGTTTGTGCTGTGCAGCAACATGTGGAAACAGATCTGAAGCCCCTTCCATTTGTATTATACATTCTCTGACAGACTATCTTTTGGAAAATGCATTTAACTTCTCATTTGACTCTTTTATCCTCTAATCTCCTCCTTCCGAATACATTTTCTAACATAGCTGTTGAGGTCTCATTCCTTTCCTACGGCCTTCCTTCTGTCCTTTCTCAATTTCCCCTTGTAATTATCAGCCTTTCCACTATTTCCCTGGATACTCCGTCTCTTTCCATTCTTATTGAAATTCCCAGGCCCAGTCTTACCTTTACATCCTCCCCTCCATTTGGTTCCACTCTTCCTTCTCCTTCCCCAGCCTATCTCATTATCCACCCATAATTTGCAGCTCCCACCTTTCATTGTCCTGATTGCCTATACGTTGCTTCTCTGCATCCTAGTTTGCTTCCTCCATTCTCCAGGATAGAACATAGAACATAGAACATAGAACATTACAGCGCAGTCCAGGCCCTTCGGCCCTCGATGTTGCTCCGACCTGTGAAACCAATCTGAAGCCCATCTAACCTAAACTATTATCATCCATATGTTTATCCAATGACCATTTAAATGCCCTTAAAGTTGGTGAGTCCACTATTTTTGCAGGCAGGGCATTCCACGCCCTTACTACTCTCTGAGTAAAGAACCTACCTCTGACATTTGTTTATATCTATCACCCCTCAATTTAAAGCTATGTCCCCTCGTGCTAGCCATCACCATCCGAGGAAAAAGGCTCCCACTGTCCATCCTATCTAATCCTCTGATCATCTTGTATGTCTCTATCAAGTCACCTCTTAACCTTCTTCTCTCTAACGAAAACAGCCTCAAAACCCTCAGCCTTTCCTCATAAGACCTTCCCTCCATACCAGGCAACATCCTGGTAAATCTCCTCTGCACCCTTTCCAATGCTTCCACATCCTTCCTATAATGTGGTGACCAGAACTGTACGCAATACTCTAAGTGCGGCCGCACCAGAGTTTTGTACAGCTGCAACATGACCTCATGGCTCCGAAACTCAATCCCTCTACCAATAAAACCTAACATACTGTACGCCTTCTTAACAACGCTATCAACCTGGGTGGCAACTTTCAGTGATCTATGCACATGGACACCGAGATCTTTCTGCTCATCCACACTACCAAGAATCTTACCATTAGCTCAGTACTCTGTATTCCTGTTACTCCTTCCAAAGTGAATCACCTCACACTTTTCCGCATTAAACTCCATTTGCCACCTCTCAGCCCAGCTCTGCAGCTTATCTATGTCCCTCTGTAACCTGCAACATCCTTCCGCACTATCCACAACTCCACCAACTTTGGTGTCATCCGCAAATTTACTAACCCATCCTTCTACGCCCTCATCCAGGTCATTTATAAAAATGACAAACAGCAGTGGCCCCAAAACA